ATTTTAATTTTATTATTATTGTTCTCTTCCCTCACTTTGTTCTTGTTTTGCTGTATATGTGTATGTTATTACCTTATTCATTTTGGATTCTGTAAATATAGTGTGGATGTGCTCCCTGAACTCTATTTTAAGTGCCCTTAATTCAGACAGAAAGTAATATTTATCAATAAACAAGTAATCTAATATATATATATATATATAATAATAAGGCTTAGCGAACCCGAAGGTTCGATGCCGACACCACCAATCGCTTGTTACACACCTCCCTCCACCGTTCGCCGTCCAAACCCAGTCCCTTCAGATCGGCTTTAATGCAATCTTCCCACCTTCGCTTCGGTCTACCCCTCGGATGCTTACCATTCGGCACAGCAAATATTAACCTTTTAGGAATTCTCTCGTTACTAAGCCCAACAACTTTACAAGCCCATTTGATTCGCCGCGATGAAATTACCTCAATTATATTACCCGGATACATCTCATGCAATTCGGCGTTGTGTAACCGTCTGAACTCTCCGGTTAACTCATCCTTCTTCGGTCCGAATATTCTACGCAATACTTAATTTTCAAAAACCTTAAGACGCTGCTCATCCCTTAATGTAAGCGGCCAAGTTTCGCTTCCATAAAGAACTGTAGGCAAGATAATTGTTTTATAGATTCTAATTTTTAAGTTTCGGGACAAGAGGCGCGAACTAAGTAGTTTTGTCACAGAAAAATAACAAGCATTCCCCGCCCTCAGTCTAACCTTAATCTCTTCTTCAATTTCGTTTTTTCTAGTTATCGTAGAACCTAGATACCTAAATTTATCTACCTGTTCAAACATATTACCATCTATATCGATATCACCAGTAGTATCGCCATTTTTGCAGCTAACCATATATTTTGTTTTATCCACGTTTATTTCGAGTCCTAGTTCTTAACCGGCTTTCATTAACGTTGTCGTATTTAGTTTTATAGTTTCAACGTCTTGGCTTAACAGTACCAGATCATCAGCATAGCCCAGCACGGATGTTGTCCCGCCCAGATCCAACCCTTTCTCGGTTCGCATTACTTCCCTAATGGCATGTTCTAATGCAAAATTGAACAGGACAGGCGAAAGAGAATCCCCCTGTTTTAAGCCCGAACGAACCTCAAATTTTTCGGACAAATTATTACCGATTCTAACTTTATTGAGTGTCTCCGTCAAGCACATCCTGACTAGATTTACTAGTTTTTTTGGAATCCCCTGCTCGATTAGAATATTATACAGTTTCTGGCGGTCAATAGAATCGTAAGCCTTTTTAAAATCTATATACAGCTGGTGAACAATACCGTTATACTCCAATTTTTTCTCTAATATTTGCCGTAAAAAAAAATATTTGATCAATAGTCGAACGATTCCGTCTAAATCCGCATTGGTAGTCTCCGATAATTTCCTCGGCGTATTCCGTGATTCGACTGGTTAAGATTAAAGTGAATATTTTATAACATACCGGAAGCAGTGAAATTCCTCGATAGTAATTACAATCCGTCCTCGGACCCTTTTTGTGAATCGGAATAAGAATAGATTCTTTCCATTCTTCAGGTAATTTCTCGTTCACCCAGATCTTTTTAACCAACCGATGTATTTTAGAAACTCCAGCTTCTCCGCATGCCTTAATTAGTTCAGTAGGAATATTATCGATTCTCGCTGCTTTATATGATTTTAATTTTCCGATAGCTACTTCAACTTCCTCTTTACTTGGTCCTTCTATTAATGGTTCAGCACTCTAGTACTCAGAAGGAGGACACAGATCATAATTTACCGTATTTAAAATATTGTCAAAGTGGTCCTTAAACTTATTCAATATGTCAACCGGATCGGTCAGAATATTGTTATTATCATCCCTAATTCCAGACGTTACGGGCCCTACATATTTACGTGATCTGTTTATACCTTTGTACATTTCTCTTACGTTATTTTCAATTCTATTAGTTTCTATTTCAATTATTTTATTTTTAAGATACTCCCTTTTTTTATTTTTGAGCAATTTTGTCGTTTCGTTCTTTGAGATTCGGAAGTATTCCAGATTGTCTTCGCTAGGATTATTTAAAGCTTTTAATTTAGCGGCTTTTCTTTTTTCACACATGTTTAAGCAATCTTCATCAAACCACGGTTTGTTATTCTTATTTTCCTTTTTTCCTAGACACGAGTTACCGACCGCTTTAATATTATCTGTGATCTCTATTCATAACTTGTCAATATCCTCGTGGTCCTCGTCAGGAAGCTCTAAAGCTTCAAACCTATTCTTAACATCTAGCTCGAATTGGTTTCTAATTGATGGATTTTTTAATTTTTCCAAATTAAAATTCTCAAAATCGAAACGGTTTTCTTTTCTTTTTTTTATATTAAGTTTTTGTCGAAGTTTCGCGATTACTAATTCATGATCCGACCCACATTCTGCTCCGCGATAAGACCGTACATTAATTATACTGCTTTGCCAGCTGTGTTGTATCAAGACATGATCGATTTGATTTCGTGTTTGCGAATCCGGTGATGTTCAAGTATATTTATGAATATCCTTATGTTTAAACGTCGTACTTTTAATTATCAGGTTTTTCGAGATGGCAAAGTTTATCAGACGGATCCCATTATCATTACTATATTCGTGCAAACTTTCTTTACCAATCGTCGGAATATAAACTTCTTCCCTTCCTACCTTTGCGTTCGCGTCACCTACAATTATTTTCATGTAGTTTCGTGGTAGTTTATCATAAACCCATTCGAGTTTATCGTAAAATTCACTTTTGACTTCATCGTCACTGTCTTCGGTCGGACAATGTATGTTTATTAATGCGATTTTAAACCAACGTCCCTGAAATGTAGCTACCGAAATTCTATCACTAAAGAATTGTACGTCCCTCAAAGCGGATAGTAATCTACGCCTAATTAGAAACCCGGTACCTAAACAATGATTCCCGCTTCCTCCGTACCAAATAGTGTACTTCCCTTCCCTCATCGAGCCACCCCTGGCCAGCGAACCTCTTGCAGAGCCACGACATCTAAATTGTACCCATTTACCTCATTCGCGACCGATTTTAGCCCTCCTGCTGTGTTTAAACTCCTTACGTTCCACGTACCAATATTTAAATCCCTATATTTCAACTTGCGCCATGAATCCTCTAAAGCAGTCCCCACCCGGAGACCCGAACGGGGGACTAGTTTACCTCCGCATGATGAGCGTTTTACCTTAGGTAGATCCATGACTTTTTGTGGTGTTTGGTGAACTAAAGATATGTGAGTAGGGCGTTCAATCCTACGTCACACCCTCCAGCAAGTCTGGTGGGCCCCTACCTCCAACAAGTCTGGAGGTCCCTTCCCTCCAGCAAGTTTGGAGGGCCCCTCTCATTGTTGGTCAGCGAGTCCATCGGACTTAGCCGGGAGGAACTTCCAAGGAATTTCCACCGACCATCCCCACATCCGCCACCCGTGGGACGCTCCCCATACGCGGTAATGAGCCCGCGCGAGCTATATATATATATATATATATATATATATATATATATATATATATATATATATATATATATATATATATATATATATATATATATATATATATATACTATTCTTGGCTAAACGACTAATTTCATTTTAAAATTTGATTCTGTTCGTGCATCACAAAATCATAGCATACCACCATGATCCATTTTACCTACCCCTTATTTTACCAATTAAAAATATCAAGATTATGATACTTTGGGTCAACACCATTCCAAATAAATTAAAGGTAATAAAAAATGAAGTGAAGCCATGGAATAGTCTCAGCTGCAGTAAACGCAGAGAGGAAGTTGTCCTTACGCGACTAAAAATAGGTCATACCAGGCTTACGCATCTTTCCTTACTTACAAAAGAAAACCCGTCTATTTTTGAGAAGTGTAGAGAGAGAATGAAAGTGGTCCATATCTTTGAGAGTTGTGCATTTTAGATCAGAGAATTACAAAAAAGAGGAATACCAGGAAATACATCGGCTGCTTTGGGAATGATATAAAAATCTCTAAATCTCTCACGCAGTACTCCACACCTACTTTCTTTCTTATACTTTTTTTTATATATTTTTATTTTTACTTTACATGCTAACTTTAAATAATTAAGCTTTAATAACCGTAAATAACTTTATCGTGCGTTTTACGTCTTTTTAATTTGACTTTATTTCTATTATTCACAACCAGAAGATATAATAATACATAATTTTAATTAAGGGGGGTTGATGAACAACACGTTTTTCGCCTTTACTGTACAACCAGCCAACCATACCAATTAAAATTTAATTTAAAGTTTTCATTTAAAACAAATAATTCCGGTTTTTTCTATTCATAACATTCATAAGCCATTACATATATAAAATAAACTAACCAGATGTACGGATTAATTTATAGTTTACTTGAAAGACGTTCAAAATTTAAAAAAGTGGAAAAAAATATACATCAACTTGGTAACCATGCGATCCATAAAGAATTTAACACCGTATATCAACTCACTTTCTATTTTTTTTTTCTTGAAAATTTATATTACATATAAAATACGGGTAAAAAGATCAGAAGATCATTGAGTGAATGTACATGGCAACCGTATATTACTGTAAGTCTAAATTTTACAAAATATTTCTTTGTTTGAAGGGAATACTTTTTATGTTTTACAGAGTTATCATTTATACAAACTTACTATGCAGATAAAGAATCATAATAAACAGGGTATTGATAAACAAATGTATCCCTAATTGGAAGAGATAAAATAATTACAATAACAAATAAATCTCGATAGTGAGAAACACAATAACGTCAGGTGGAAACTTAGGGCTTCATTTCACAAGTGAAATATTCAGTTAAGTTATTATGTCATAGGAAAGTTTCCCAAGAATATTTGTCAGGTGTAACAGGTGTAACATAGCTATATTAAAAGAGGATGTTATTTCACTATGCTATAATTTTTACGTTACGTCGTTGTACAAGAGTTTTATTGTAAAGTAATAACAACTTTTCAGATGATTTACGTGACCCGTAACCCTAAGGACGTTGCGGTGTCTTACTACCACCACCACAGGCTTTGGAATGGATACACTGGCCTCTATCAGCTCTTCATGCAAGCCTTCATCGAGGATAAGCGTAAGCTGTTTTTTTTATTTTTTATTTCATTAAATCTTAAAGTTACTTATCCTAAATAGGGAGTTTTAGACCGAGCTATCGAGCATAGTGATAATCGTGAGGAGATTTTGAAATATTCAAAAGGGTTATAAAAGTAACTAATCTGAAGTGGTTGGATTGATACGCCATCCTTTTTGATGACACCGAAAATTCCACTCCTTACACCACCTCCTACCAAATAATCCAAAAATCTAAATTTTCTAGGAATCAGGGCTTACGAAATCCTACAATCTATATTTCGACTTACACATTAGACGTTTTTTAAAATTTTAAAGTTTATCAAGTTTAAAATAAATCAAAAGTTATTCATTCTTAAGTAATTGGAAACGGCGCAACTTTTTTGTTATCTACTAATTATGAATTAATATGAAAATCGGCATACCATCTTGATGCTATATGAAGAGCATGGGCTCATCGTGTTAAGTTGCATTCAACAAAGCGGAGGCCCCTTTGAACAGTTACTCTAAATTTAGTAATAATAATAAATAAATAGTCATAATAAATAATAAATCTTTAACCTTTGATGTCAGTTTAATAAATGAGTTTGAGATATACGTTAATATGAACCATTTTGTTTATTTTGTGTTAGTGAACACATACCTAAAATAATGCCGTGCAATTACGAAACACCCTGTATATATAAATATATCTTTTTTTTTTAAATATAAGGAATAAATGGCTTTGTAGAAGGGGTTTTCCATTAATAACTATTGTAATTATATCTATTTTTTAAAGGTTTATTTTAAAGTATAATTAAATATATATACATATACTCGGTGTTTCATGAAAATAACATATTTTATAGTAGATTTTTAAAATAGTTCTATTTTCAACGTTGTTATATCAGAAAATCTAAGAGAGTTGTTTAAATATTCAGTTTTCTAAAATCGGTAGTTATTATAAATTTAAAATATTCACTTTGTTCAAAAACCCTTCAGTAAACAAAGCATATTTACATAAAATCTATTTAGATTCTTAAAATATTGATTAATTATATGAACGATTAATTATGAACTCGTTAGATTTTATTAAGTGTTGTTATAGTTGTAAATAATAATATGTTAATTATTGTGTTGCAGTTGTATACAGTCCTTTCTGGGACCATGTGATAGAATACAAGAAATTAGAAAATCTACCTAATCTCCTTATAAATTCTTTCGAGGAGATGAAACAGGTAAGGACTTTTTCTCTATTTTCATATTGCTTCCATGGAAAAATATTCAGTGGAATATTTGTTGGTTGATAGAAGATATATTTATTTTAGGAGATGTTAGTTTTTTTTATGAAAAAGAAAGACCTCGTAATAAAGTAAAAGTTCTTTTAAGGATAAATAAAAAGTCCTCGAAGTCAAAGTGGATTGTAGCTAATTAATAAGGTGTATATTACATTGCGTTATAAAAAAGCTCGGTGAGAAAGCTGGCTATAAGGCCGAAAAGGCTCGAGCTTTCCCGATTCGACCAAGGCTCGAGTCCTAAGAGCTCGGCAGTAAAAATCTGGAGTCACGGATGGAACTTTACTTGTTTTTTACCATATGTTTATTAATGGACTTTTAAAACTGTTTTACAATTTATGCAAAAGGATAATATCCACCTACCCAAACATATCGCCATTATATCATCTAAAAAAAAAAATTAAGTTCGGGAAGGGATTATCTTCCAAAAAAATTAAAAGTATCCTCCACATACCCAAATATATTGCCATTATATCATTTTAAAAACAAATTTCGGAGAGGGGAGATTCCCTATCGCCCCAAAAAAGAATTAAATTTTTTTTTTTTATTTTGATAAAATTTACAACTGTATTACATAGAAAATACAATAAGTAAATGTGACATTGGTAACATGACATGTACAACATGAAGAGAAACTACCCATTGGTAGAACTCAAATTAAAGTTCTATATTAGAAGGTCCCGAGGCCATCTTCTTTTCAGACGCCTCGGAGGGTTATCAGCGATCGAGGAAGAAGCAAGGTTTAAAACGAGAGGATTTGGATGGTTCTGCAGTTTGTTATGGAAGGATAGGTATCTGGATTGGGCCAAATCGGAAACATATGGAACATTAAGGTCTTTATGGATGATTTTATTTGCGACAAAGTAAGGAGCGTTGAGGATTTTACGAAGGATTTTGGATCGTAAGGATTGGACACTAGAGGAATTCGATGGCTTAGTGGAGCCCCAAACCTCAATTCCGGAAGTCCAAATAGGTCTTATTATTGTCATATATATGAGTCGTTTGTAATTGATTGAAAGCTTAGAGCGTTTGTCTAGTAAGTGCTGCTGTTGGTTTCTAGTTGTTTCAGTCTGGTGTGGGGGTAGAATTAAAAGTAAAAAAGGTATCTTCAACCTACCCAAACATATTGAAAATTCATCTTTTAAAAAAAAATTGGATAGGGTTCCCCACTAAAAAAAAAATCAATATAAAAAAATCACCCACTTACCCTAACATATGGCCAACATATCATTCTTAAAAACAAATCGGGGATAGGCAAGGGGGTAATTCGTACCTCTCCCACAAAAAAAAATTAAAGTAAAAAAAGTATAACCCACCTATACAAACATATTACCATTTCATCTTTAAAACAAAATTTGGAGAGAGGGGTTCCCTCCACGCCAAAAAAAAGAATTAATGTAAAAAAGTGTTATCCACCTGCCCTAACATATTGTCAAGTGGGGCACCGAAAATTTAGTATCACCCGCAGCTTCTCAGGATATATAGTTTACCGTATATATGGTTTAATGTTGCTCAATATAGACCCTTACACGTGAAATTATATTGACAGTGTTTCAATAATATTGAAGAAGATTCGGGTCTTAAGAGCTCGGTAGTAAAAGGCTCGTGTCGCGAATGGAACCTTACTTTTTTTTTCGTACCTGTTTATTTACGTTATATTTCAAAAATATATTCGCATTGTTAATACCAACAGAAAAATAATATATTCACTTTATATTTCGAAAATATATTCACATTGTTACAACAAACAGAAAAAAATATATTTGTTTACATATATATTTAATTTTTTTTTTAAACATGAATTCATCAAGGCTAGAACCCTATGAGCCTTTAACTCGAGCCTTAAGGTTCGAAGTTTAAAGATTCGAGTCGGAGCTCGAGGCTTGTTTTTATAACACTAATATTGCAGCTATATGCTTTTCTTGTAGGACTTAATTAGTATCAAAAACTTTGTATCTTCGTATTAATAAGTTGTGTCTTTTTTGAACCCCGGTTGTAAAATTAAGATATGATAAATAGCAAACATGGTCAAAGTTGTGGAATGCTTATGCTATTTTCCACAAACCTTAAAAAATAAAATTAATAATTTTAAAACTTTTCTAAGGTTCTTTATGCGTGTAAAACAGGCTACAGAAATTTCTCCAATATTCTTCTGAAAAATCAAAAGATTTCTTTCATTAATTAATCCTTTAACGTCCCCTATGCCGTAAACCTAAGTACATAATAAATTATAATAAAACTATAAAGTTAACTAAAGAAATTCTCAAAGAAAGAATATAATTTTTTATGTCGTGCCAACTAATATACTTTCATTATCTTAGTTCAATTATCGTCTCTCAACCTATAGATTATTGTATTTTTTTTAATTTTAGAATATACTTGTTTACTAAAGCTTTCTACCACTATGTGTCACTGTGAGGAGTGTACATATAATTTATATGCAGTATAATTGTTTTATATGCATACGTGTGGATTGTTAAGATAGCACTGCATGGCATTCATTTAGTCTATCCCCTGTAAGGTATTAGTAACAAGTAGCTGAGTAAACAAGCTAAAAATCACTCTACGTCAGAAATTGGATGCCACTATCTTGGAAAATTTGTAACTTCTTTCATCCATGCCAAAGAGGATCAGAACCTTTTTAGGAGTAACGGGAGGAAAATCCCCTCCGTCGAAGCAGAAATTGGGAGCAATGAGTTTACAAAGGATTGGTTCTTCTTTGGTCTGGTTTTATAATAATTATTTATTATATTTTTTATATGAATTTATTGATCAATGTTTTAATTTTTTTTTTTAATTATCAATGAATTGAAAAATTATTTATCATTTGGAAAAAAAATTTGAACTTCTGGTTGGTAAAAGAGAGAAATATTTAATCCTTATTCAAAGAATTGTTATGGCATATAAACAATAATACGAGGGATTCTCATAAACAACAAAAAAATAAATTAAAAAAACATTGGGAACAGACCTATCTATCCTTAGAAAATGTACATGCATATCTACATAATCACATCGTTAGATTGTTTGGGAAATCGACGTCTAGGAATATTTAAAATTGGTATAGTAAATGTGTGATTTTCATTTCACATTACAGATTCCGTAACGTATAGTGAAAAGCACCAAACTACTACACCTATTTTATATATTCGTAAAAGTCAATTTCCCAAATGATCTAACAATTTTTCTATGTATATTTGTTAATATGTTCTTATTAAAATAATTTTAATAAATATTACATTTAAATGGAAGAAGAAACTGTTACTGGAAATAAAATATAAATAATACTTGTATTTATATAAAAGTTAATTTTTTTTAGATGTGGATTGTATAAAACAATAGAAAAAAAATCCTGTATGCAGAGTCTGGAAACTTGTAAAGAAAACAATGCGACAACATTAGTCAATAAAAAATAATTTGTGACAATATCTTATCTGACGTCGAAATATTCTAAAAATAGCCACCACATATACAGAGTTTCTCAGTTTCCTAACTACGATAAGTGATTCTAGACAAAATTTCTAACAAAAAAGTTAATTTGTTGCATGGGCCGCTTCCGAAGGGAAAATTTGTCAAGAGCAATTATGTTTTTCTTCTTAAAGTGGTCCCGATTTTTATTGAATTACAACAAATTGCTCAAAAACTGTTCATGGTAATTTAATTCTAAGTGGATAAAATTTTCTTTGAGGTAGGTAGGGTAAGGATTTTAGGGCGATAAATTGCTAAATTATTACACCCGTAATTTTCTTTGAGGAAACAGTGATTCAATTTTCTAATTTAAGTGATTAAATTAATTGACAATCTAATGAATTAATCAATGATAAAAGGGATTATCAGGAGGTCTAATAACGCAAAGCCTACCATTATCCCTAATAATTTCACGAATCGGGATTACAGAGATATGCTGCTCGGACATAGGGTACTGCAACAGTGCAGCGGCCATATTAGACCTCCTTAAGTACCTTTAATCATTCACCTTAGTAATTTTAATGACTGTTTTCTTAAAAAAATGTTGTCTACTTTATGATGGTATGCTTATAATTTAATTATCTTGTACAATTTTTGAGTAATTCTTTCTTATTCAATGAAAATAGTGACTAGTTAAAAAAAAAAAAAAAAAAAATGGTCTTAAATCATTTTAAGAACTGAGACAACCTGCATACCACTCAAGTCGGCAAAGACCTTTACTTGTACATAGTTTTATATTTTCATTGCATATATTATATTATAAATATATTATTTTAATAAAGGTTTTTATTATTTTTCAGAATATGAAAAGTATTTAATTTACACGATTTATTTTATATTATCATAAAAAAAAAAAAAAATACCTTTAAATTTCACATTAATTATGATCGTTCATTATGAACATAATGATGATTTATTTTGTTCCATTTAACCGTGAGATCATTGGGGTTTATATTTCAGATTTATTTTTACTAACTTTAAAAAGAAACTAAAGCAAAAAATATATTATTATAGTTACCAATTAATTTAATTATTTTAAGTAGCTTCAACTTAATGCTAAATGATTTATTTCCCTTCTATTACGCGATTGCTAAAGTAACAAGAGATATTTTACATTCTCAAAAAAAATATTTTGCTAATTAATTAAATGTAGTTTATAATTATTGAACAAATTTTTAAAAAAATCTATTTTCGAAAAACGATTTAATTCATTATTATTTGTATTTATATTTTGTCCAATTGCTGTAAATGAATAAAACGGCTAGTTCACTTATTTATTACCATGATTTTATGAAAACTAAAAATGTTATAAAAATTAATAATGGTACAAATAGTTGAATGAATGATATTATAGAGGCATGTAAAATGAAAGTTTATATCAGCTACACCTTTAAGTATTCCAAATCGTAGTATCATAAAGATCGTTAAGGAATAGTGGTGAGTACATTTAGACACCTTTACGACTATTTAAAGTGACTCTTCCCTTCTTTCCGCAGACAATATTTCCTTGGATCTTTCCTATTCCAAACGATCAACACCCGACACCCTTCCTACATCTACAGTCTCCTACAGTTTAAACCCGTGGTCCCCTTATAGAAAACAAGATCCCGTGTTTCCGACCTTTATATCCCTTCCCATAGAACTAAGACGTTTGAATATTCCTTTATTGCCCGATCCACTGCCTTCTGGAATTTCTTGCTGCCATCTGATATCCGATATGGCTTCCTTGTCCTCATTTAAATATCATCTTTACCAATTCCTTCTCACATCCTAAAATGACGTTATATAATGAAATAAATATTGCGAAATAGATTTTGACTGAGATGAATGGTTGTTAAAAATTGATTGAGTTTTAATTTTAAAAATCAACCCATACTTATATTATTTTTTTCAGAATGGTGTTATTTTTACTTGTTTAAATATAATTTTACTGAAGATACTGTATATATTCTTTAATATTGACTAATGTAATTTTTGGCCAGATGTAGTTTTTATTTCTTTTTTTCATAACTGTTCATTCATTTATAACACTTTATTCATAAGGGACCTCGTCCCAAAATAAAGTTTACTTTCTATCTATCTATCTACATTAAGGTGTGAATTCATATGTTGTTGGTATTGAAGAAATGCACAAACCCATTTAATTTACAAGGTTATTCAATATATTGTTGCAAAATACCTTATATATAAATATAACTAAATGGATGTAAATTATTCGCAGGATTTGCCAGGAGTGATAAGGAAAACGGCGGCATTCCTGGGAAAGACCTTGAGCTCAAGCGAGGTTGACCGACTCAGCGAACACCTCAGCTTCAAGAGTATGAAGGACAACGGTGCCATCAACGGCGAAGAAGTGATCAAGGAGGTGAAGCAGCGGCACGGGCTGGACCCCTCTGACCCCCAGCTCGCCTTCATCAGGAAGGGGGAGATCGGCTCCTGGAAAACGGAGATGACGCCTGACATTGCCAAGCAGTTCGACGCCTGGACCACCAAGAAGTTGAAGGGTACCATCCTTGAGAACAACCAAGTCTGAAAGGAATGTGTCTGTAGGGGGATGTAAATATTTCGTGGAATTTGATTAATTCTAAACAGCACAGAAAATTGTTTATGTCATAACAATAATTTTAAATGAAAGTTAAAAATCGAGGAGATATTAAACATTTACTGGGTGAAAAGGTTTATTTATAATTATTTAAGCACTGATAAATTTCTATTTAATATATTTATATATTTATTATTGTTGTGATTTTATTTTGAATTAAATATAGCATATTTTTTAATCGCATTGTTGTTATAATCCAATCATAATCTCCTAAATAGTTCTAACGTCCTGTAATATTGTATAATAAAAAAAGCTAAAAAAATAATGAGGCAAAGATAATTGGAATGATATTATTGGAAGACTCCAAAAAAAAAAAAATATATATATATTATATTATATTATATAAAGTATACATATATATATATATATATATATATATATATATATATATATATATATATATATATATATATATATATATATATACATATAATACCTAACAGGTAAACGTTTTGCTAATTCTGTCATGATCTACGTCACATAAATGTATCGAACATTTTACTCTCGTATCGAAAATTTTTAAAATACAGTTAAACACATAGTCAATGATAAAGCTCTTGCATATTGAAATATTAAGAAATTACCTCCTAGCTTCATTTGCTTTTGAGTTAAGCTGTCCGGTCTGCATTTATGTGATCTTATTTTTTTCTTTAAATATGATACTTGGATTAGCGAAATGGTAATTAGTAAGGTGATCAGGCAAAGGTAATTAGTAAGATGACTTGAAGCTTTATTTTGGATTCTTCCAATAGTATAATTATTCCATAAATAATATTTAATATTTCCATTTATATTTAATTAATACTAATAATTGCATAATAATTAGATAATACAATATAATTATTTTATGTACTCTAAAGGTAAACTATTTATAAAGCTTAAAGCAATCACTTACAGTAAAATTAAAGGTTAACTTTCTCCACAATAAAAAAACAAAATAAAATAAACAATTTTTTAAAATAATCCAAAACTTTTTTTAAATAATCAAAAATGGACAGGTTGAGTATTAAATGGATAACACAATGAATTATTTTGCATACTTTTTTCTAGTGTTTGTAGATTGAACATACTGTGACCTTGAAACTATCCGGTGCATGAAAATCTAAATTTTTAAAAATATTTGTCTATAAGTTGTTACCGCTAAATTCTATAGACCCAACTTTACAAGAACTCGAAACATATCACTTAAGTTAACCACTACTGGCATTTTCTCGTAATTTGTGGCATATTATAACTCCGAAAAGCCTTGAAATTTGACAAATGACTGATTTCCATTCGATCGAGGGTGAAGAAACTAATCAAATTAGCTACATAACTCGTTTTAATCAAACTTGAATTAGGCGATGTTAGAACTTATCGAGGGTGCAATAAAAAATCACACACATCATATGAGTTATGCTCATATGATGTGTGTGATATGAGCATAACTCATATCACTACATAACTCAACTAGCATTGCATGTTGTGATTATAAATGAAAAAATAATAATTTAATATATAATTTTTTACCGTATACCACCTCCCTCCGAATAATTTATTAAATTAGAACCGATGCATAAATAAACTCTAAATGAGGCGGATTTACTCACTAAGAATTTTCAAATTCATAATTTCCCTTGTTTACCGAATTGAATGGAAATTGGCCAAGTAGTTGATAATCTGCCTGTGTCACGTCAATTTCAATGTTCGGCAGGAAAATTTTTAACACTCAGAAAATAACTGCACTGATGGAAGAACATAGAATAGAATATTAAACGTTTGGATTTTTCTGCCGGTGCTACATGCCTTTTAAATTTGAGGTGTATACTTGGGAAAAATATTATTCATCATCAAGAGTATTGATAAGACATATATATTCATATACAACGTCAAATTTTTAAGATGGTGCAACCTTCCCCTACCAGATTTCAGCAAACAACGCTTGAAAAAAATCATCTTCAAATGTACTGTTGGGAAAAACAACACATTAATTTAGAATTTTTCTGCCGATGAAACGTATTTTCCTAATATCGGTACCTTTGATTAGTTTTTCGGTGTCCATGGAGAGTGTAGCTTCTTGGGGGATTGAAATTTATCACATTCAAATAATGTAATATTTACATATCTATTTTCTTATAAGACAGGCACTATTTTATACGCGGAAAAAAGTTTTCATAAAATAATAAACGAAATTTCAACTCAGCTCTAGAAATTATGGTAGTACTTTTTTTTTTTTTTGGTTCTTCCCTACCTCACCTTTTAGGCTATACGGGGTTTTCCCGGCCTGGAGGCGGGGAATTTAAAATATCCTCCGGCACCGGGACATTTTAATCTTCTCAAATCTGTTATCCGGTCGCCAGGCAACTTGCACACTCTTTAGCCCATTCGGCCACCCCGCCCCTATTATGGTAGTACTTAAAGGTTTGCAGGTTTCTTGTAGCTCCAACGAAAAATTCTTTTTACTACCATGAACATTAATATCTTTCATGATGGAAATTATCCCTTAAAAATTATTTACTAAATTGTCAAGAGAACAGAAGAAAATGATTTCATAACTTGGCATAATTGATAATTCTAATGCCTTCACAAAACCATCGAGAGTGGGGAGCGAAGGTAAGGGAAAGAGCGGAATTTTCCTATCTAAAGAGATGTACTCTGGTGTATCTTATTCCAAAAACATCCGATTTTTAATTACCCCCGTCACTTCAACATCCTTCAAGTTGGCGCTAACACTTCGGGTTCGGATCATGCTGGAATTCTTCTCACGTCGGGGTCATCAGTTAATCAAGGGAGATATAGAAAGGTCTCGATACTACATTTTCTAAGATTATTGTATATGTAGGTATCAATTTATTTACCTATGTCGTCACTCAGTATAATAATCCCAATATTGATATAAAGAGAATTATCACAGCAGCCAACGAATGCTAATTTGGCTGGAGCAAACAGCCAAGCAGGCTGATATTTTCCAAACCAACTAAGCTCCACCTCTAAAAGAAAATGGTGCGCCTCATACTGATTTATGGGTCAGTATGCTAATGGCTATTGAAAAGGGATTCCATATTTTTGGAAGAAATGTTCTTTGCCAAGTTTGCGGAGGTGCAAACATCTGTTGAAGAATGGAAGCGACGCACGAAACAGGAGCTGTACTAAACTTTTGGTAAGGCGCTTGAGATATGCAGCTCATATCGCCACCGTAGATAGAGAAATGCCTAAAATATTTCTGTCACAGCCAATAGTACAAGGAGAAAACGGAAGGTGGTCAATTGGTGTTGCCAACGATCCTGCCAGAAGATGCTCGTAACATCCTGGGAGTAAGGAAGTAGATGGCGTAGGCACCAGACCGTGACGATTGGAGGAAATGAATAAAGGAGGCTAAGACCTGTAAGATAGCCATGTATCATCGTAAGATCGTATAGCCATGAAAAAAAAGGTATTTACGAAGAAGGAAAAAGGGCATAGGATGAAAGTATGAAAGTAGTCAAAGAAAAAAATATCTTACCTTTACCTCTACTTTTTTTTACTAAAATATATAAAAGCTTTAATAATGCAAGCACTTATCATTATATTATATTCAATATATTACCCAAATTATGGATGTATTACATATAAAAAAGCCTCCTTTAAATGTTATAACTGAATTCATAAAAAGTTTCAGTTCATTTATAAGTAATGTTTTTGCGATTCCGTAGAGATGATCATCAGGTATGGAATTTTAAAAAGTTGTAGCTTTACATAAACCTCTGGGAACTTCATAATATATATATATATATATATATATATATATATATATATATATATATATATATATAGTTTCTAAAAGTTATGAACTTTACCTATATACCTATCTAGATTCCGTAAGAGTCCATAGAAATCAATTACATAATAATTTCCATTTTTTCATTTAAAAATTGTATGTTATGTTTAAAATGCAAACCACAAGAAATTCATTTTAAACAATCTATTGGTATCTACTGCGTATATTTTTTCAATATCTATTTTAAGTGAAATATACTGACCTACTTGAAATATTTATATTGCATAAAATAATTATTATGCATTGAACACTTATTATTTAACATAAAATACCTGATTTAAATATAAATTGATAAGCTAGAGCAATAAGTCAAAAAATATTGTTTTCATACAATATTTGTTTTAAATAAGTCTGAATGAAAATATAACTGATGATCCCATTTAAAAATATTTCTAGCATTTGATTAAATATAATATTTTACTTTTGATAGTCAAAGAAAAAAAATTGAGTAAGTATATCACTAGATAAATTGAACTTTTCTAGTTAATATAGATCTATCTAGTCAATGAGTGATAATATCAGACGACTTTGTTAATCGATTCCAATTTCATCATATCAAGCTTATGAACTGAATAAATGTACAACAGCACTGAAAACAAAAAGACTGTGAATTGGAAATTATTTTTATGAAATTCCACACACACACACACACACACACATACACACATTTATATATATATATATATATATATATATATATATATATTATATATATATATATATATATATATATATATATATATATATAAATTATTTAATTTAATTTATAATTATTTCATAAAAGTAGGTTATAGTTGTACGATAGTGAGTGACGTGCTCTATCATAAATGTAATATTTCATGAGTATTCACATAATTTTTAAACATAAATTATGTTAGTGTCCTATAGAATTAAATTGAATATTTTATTATTTTGCTTTTAACGGATGCTTTTAATACATCTTGTTGACCAAATCGATTGAATGAAAATTAAATATCCTCAAAAACAGACCAAATTTGAGCAGTATACTGCAATTTCCAAGTAAGTTAGAGCCGATGTCCTAGGAACCTATGCGCTTGTCCCAGTTTGCTGCATCACTAGACTTAAGTCTACTATATATCACTCTTTAATCCACGACTATAACATAACAAATATCCATAAAATGGGAACATTGCCCTAAGTTTTGCTAGGGAATAAACCAAGCGACCGAGCTTAGATGCTGACAACATCACCTCCTTGTTAAACCATTAATCATAAAACCATACATCTTTAACTTTTCGAGCTCTAATTTAACACTGCCCTACTTCGGAACTTTAAAAACTTACCTACTCTACCAACAATTAGCATGTGAAGTAGTCCGCTTTTCAAATCGAGTAAATTTCTAGGGTCAGCGCTCATCCAATGATAGATTTTTGATGCTCATTAATGATCATTAATGAAACAATTTACATATATAGTATACAATAATACAATATATGGTATAGCAGAGTGGTTAGCGCGCTATACTAATAAAGCAAAGATCATAGGAGCGAATCCCGGCCCTACTTCCCAATACGGCTGGTCCCCAAGTTAGACCATTACCCTCTTAATTGGGGAGGCCTACAGATGTAATACTTGTAAAAACAGGCTATACAAAAAAAAAAAAAACTATATATACATTTAAAAAATTCCTTCCACTGCCCAAGGGCATTTTAAGGATTGGGGATAGCTAAGGGTTACATATGTGGCAGAAGGCCTTGTGACTTTCATTGAACGGGGAAGGACCGTTCTGTTAATTTTTTATTATTTATAATATATACAAATTAATGAGTTTGGACCGCAGAGACCAGACCACATCCTTCGGCGAGTATGTCCACCAAAGGGAGTTTACCTTGCCACCTCCCAGGTCTGGGTGGTGGTGAGATCTAATTGAACAGTGGGTTTGCATTGGCCTTCAGCCCATCAAAAAATTTGATGTGCCTCCGGCCTATGAACTCAGGTACCGAGGGGAGCTGGAGCTCCTCGCGTATTGTTTGATTCTTAGCCCTTTGTAGGGTGGTGCCACGGACAATTCACCGAAGGATAGAGTTCTGGAAGCCCTGTAGACTCGTAAGCGTGGATTTATATAGGTATCGCAGGAGAGGGGCCCCGTGGAGCAGTGTAGGTCTTATAATAGCTTTATAAATTTGGAGCTTGAGTCTCAGCGAGAGCTGCGGCGACGTCAGTAGGTGGTAGAGCCGGTGTGACTTCTTTCGTGCCAGCTTGATCCTCTGCCTAACATGATTGGAGAAGGTCAAATGTCTATCCAGAGTGACGCCGAGGTAGACAATCGAGGTAGAGATTTTATGATAAGCTCCTCCAACGGTGAATTGTGTGGGTAGATGCTTCTTTCCCTTCTGAAACGACATGACAATAGCATCAGTCTTCGCAGGATTCACTCTGATACCGATCTCTTCTAGCTCTTCAACAATTGTGGCTGAAGCATTCTGTGCCAGAGTGAGTGCAGTCTCCACGTTGATGCTGGAAGCATTTATGCCAATGCCGTCCGCATAGGCTGCTACCACCGCCTTTGGATGCTTGAGTGCCACCACTGGCGCCGTGAAAATGACGAACAGTATTGGCCCCAACACAGACCCTTGAGGTACTCCGCAGATGGTATCGACTTGGTTTGAGTAGTCTGTACCAACTCGTACGACGAGAGATCTTCCGCTGAGGTAGCTTCGGATCAGTCGGCATAGAGTGGTAGGAAACCTGAACTCTTTCAGACGGCGAAGTAGATGCGTGTGTGACACGCAGTCAAAGGCCTGGCTGCAGTCCAAAGAGATGAGCGCCGTAGCTCTGTTGAGACTCATTTCATCTATTGTGTGGGCCTGAAGTTTAGCTAGGTGGTGTTCACACGCGACCCCTCTCTGAAAACCAATCTGCTCTAGTGGTAAGATGCTCTCTTTCCAGCAGTGCTTCATAAGCTGATGGTGGATTAGCCTCTCGAAAATCTTGCTGATGTGCGAGAGGAGGCTGATCGGATGATAGTGCTCAGCTGAGTCTCCGTTCTTCGCCGGCTTTAGTAATGGTACAACGATCGCTTGTTTCCATGCGGTAGGAAAGTATGAGATTCAAAGACATGAGTTGAATATGTTCAGTAGAAAGGCCTAGGGAGCATCTTCAGCAGTACGTACGGAATCTCATCCAGTCCAGACGCTTTGTTTCCTTTGGTGCGTCGTAGTGTCGACTCCAGCTGGTTGAAGGTAGAGAAGACGGGTTCTTCATTGGGACTGGGCAGTGGTCCTTCCGGTATTGGTGGTGCATTTCTCGTCCGCTCAGCATCCCTCGCTTCATAGCTTTTGGCCAGGAGTTCAGCCTGCAAGTTGGGTCCATGTTCTTTATAAGTCTATTTTTGAGTCCGTTTATTTTAATATGAAATCGGGAATAGAGAGTACATATGTGTTAGTTGATAGTTAGTTGTCTTAAGTCGGTAGTTAAAGCTTTGTGTTTACGGAGCATACAGTTTTAGCTTCTGTTATTAGTTTTAAAATTGATTGGAAAGATTGTAGGTTGGAAAATGCTTAGGTTTTGCAGAACTGAAAATCCGTGGGGCGAATATCCAAATAGGTTCAAGTATATAAGTATATGTATTTCATTTTCGATTTGGTTTGGAAAAAAGTGAGTATAGTGTTTTCAGCCGCTTGTTTAAGTTTTTTTTTTTTTTTTTTTGTAGTTTTTGGTTGGGCTTCAGGTCATCCTTCTGTTGAATATTAGTCCATGGTAACGTAGTCTGTCTCTGAGGTATTTGGTTTTCGGAGATATAAATTAGAGGGGACGCTTCTCGTTTAAGTGCAAATGTTATATGCTGTAATTTGCCACGATTCAATCTAATTTTTCAAAGTGAATATCAATTTTGTAAATTTAGTGAGTAATTTTGTAAATTGAGTGAAGCTAGTCTGAGGTTATGGTATTTTTTTTAAAGTGTGTAGGTAGTAGTCAATGTTTTATAGTTGCTGGGTATGTCATGCGTGTTTACATAATTCAGAGTAAAGGATCCTTGAGGTACTCCTGCCAATACTGGTGGAATTAAAGAAGACTTCTAAGCCCTATCGAACAGAGAAAAATCTATCGAAAATGAAAGATTGTAGAATAAGATAATAATTGTGAGGTAGTATAGTTTTGAATTTAAAAAGAAGTTAGTTCCACGGTTCCAAACTTTATCTAATGCCGGGGTAACATCCAGAAACATGCCGGTTGCGTTTTGTTTTTGCTCTAGTGCTCCAACAATGTAGTCAGTAACTCTGTAACTGGTGTGTTGTTGAATGTAATGTGCGAAAACCAAACTAATGTTCAGGAATTGGTTTTCGGTCCTCAATATGTCAAGTAATCTTTTGTAATTTCATGTTTCGAAATTTTTATAACATATCGGAAGGAGGCTGATAAGTTGGTAGGTTGGGGGATTGAAAATTTCTTATCATCCTACCATGCAACCATGTTAACTATCCCCTCTGTGTGCCATCTTGATAAATGAATATTTCCATTGTAATAGGAATTTTTATCAGTATACAGTTGTACATATATTTTTATAAGGAAAACTTTGGCTTTTCAAGGCATTTGTTGGAGCGCCTCCGCAGAAATTATTATCATTAAAATATATTAATTTAAATTATTTACTCTATTATATTTATTTTAATATATTAAAATATATTAATTTCCTCAAAATTGAACACATCTACATCGTTTGGTGATTATTTTTATTATTCTTATATAAATTGATAGATGGCTCTTAGAACCAAAAATAATAATAAAGAAATAATTATCAATTTTTACATATCCTGTGTATACCTGCTTTAACATTTTAATCAGACAATCATTGTTTGCTTTAATTTAATTTTTAAATTAATCTTTTACAACGTATACAACTAAAAAACATTTAGTCGTTGTTTTAAGTGACTAAAAAAAGATTATTCGTTTCATTCTCAACTAATGAATAACAAAAATGTCGTTAGTCATGTACATTTTTACAAACATTTAGTCGTTGTTTTAAGTGACTAAAAAAAGATTATTCGTTTCATTCTCAACTAATGAATAACAAAAATGTCGTTAGTCATGTACATTTTTTTGGGAATTAAAATTTACTCCCAATTCGTCAATCGGATAAATTAGACATTCCAGGCACATCATTCAGTGTATGTAAATTGAAACTTGATTTGTAATTATTCGGATATTTTCGCTGTTAGTCGGCTTAGTTCGGTATCGATTGCCGGTTGTTTCCAGAAGGTTACTACGCGGTTCACCTTGTATTGTTTGCTTCACAGTAAGTGTATCTTATTTATACATTATTATCATAGTTTTATGATAATTGCACAGATCTTAATTAATATTGGTATTTTATATTTGGGCTTTAGAATGAATCGAAAAGAACCTTTAACTCAATTCATCCAGCAGATCCATGGGAGACCTGTGGTTGTTAAATTGAACAGTGGTGTGGATTACAGAGGTTTGTTAATTTGTTTCATATTTTTATCTGAAACGGTTTAATAATTTTATATCATTAATTTCACCAAACCACACGAGTTATCTGAAGACCAATTTTAGAAATTTGACTTGTGACTTACTGGTTAGAATTGTAATCGGATATAGAACGATTTCCATAAATTGCTTATTGTTGCTTAAGATATAATTCCATTTAAAATCTAAAAAAATCAATCTTAACTTAATGAGTTACTAAAGTAATAGATTGGAAATATTATCGTATTTCTCTGAAAATAATCGTTTTTTTTATATTACAGCATTTTTACAATATTTTCCTGTCAATCTTGTAATTGTTTTTTGCCATAATAAAAACTGAATGCTTAATAATATGCTCAAATTTCAATTTATATGCTGAAATGAATGTCACTTGATTTTTTGTTTTGGATAATTTTCCCAAATTAACCTGTTAACCAAGTATAAATTTATCATTATAATTATAATCTTGAAATTATTAAGAGTTCAACAATAAAATTCAATACAAAGTTCACATTAATTGATGAATTTGTATTTGTTTATATTTTTTTTATATCTTTTATATATTTCTCATGTAGTTATTAAATAAATATATATGTTATGTAAGAATGTAAAGAATTCTTTTTATGTGTTCAAGCTATTATGTTTCTTTAAGGTTAAGTTGATCAGCATTGCGGTTAACTGATATACGCTTATGTCATAGTAGTGTCTATTTCATTATGTAAGTCAAAACACTAGCAAAGATAATTGAACTCCTAACCAAATTCTTCTTAAATTAAAATTATGGTCAATCATCTCTACATCAACTTTCTGTTTGTTATTATTATCAATATTCAATAAAAAAAGCAACCGTAATTATTTGGATGAGGACCACACAGGCTACTTGTGGTTCACAGTCACGCTGTTCACACTTATTCATAAATGGTCGAAAACAGTCTTTAGAATAAACCCGAAAGCATTTGTCACTCCATGAACAAGTGTGATTGCGTAACCCTTGCAGTTATAATCTAATAATTATCCTGAAAACGTTAAAAAATACAAATTAACTGTGCCTTCCACTTGATTAATATAATAACCTATAAATGTCCCTTTAGGTAGAATATGGTCCTTAAAAACACATTTAACTCTTGATACAAACTAACTATAAAGGTACTAATTGTTACTAGCTTTATATAGTTTATTGATGAATTTGTGAATTAACCATTTGTTAACCTTTAAGTGATTAAATATCAATTGAATATCTTATATTTTGTTGTATTCCTAAAACATGGATAAAAGAGATAAAAGTTTAAAATATTAAATGAAAAATATTCATGAAATGTAAATTGAGATCATCCTTGAATAACATTAAGTATTTATTAATGTTGAAAATATTTCTTGGGAAATTTTACAATTATTTCATGCTTATCTCCAGGGGATTCTCACGTAAATTTCTTTCCTCTCACTTTTGTTTCTTTCTGATATAGATGTAAGAATTTTCTAGGTTTTTACTTCTTATTCTTTTTTTACCTCCTTTTGCGCCTTTACATGCGGACGTTGATTTTTACTTAATTACATAAAATAAACTCAGGCTTATAGTGGCTATACAAATTCATAATTTTGCAATTTTGTTTGGTAAATGTTTTGCTACTGTTTGGTTGGTGGAAATAGTCTGGTAGCTGGGCTTTATGGACCTTGTTGGTAACCTTTACCTTTAGGTTGCTGTTGAATACTTACCATGGTGCAAGTGGTAGGATTTATTTCTGGAGGCTCCGAAAAATAAATATTAATCAACCCTAGGGAGAATCAAGACCACAATATTCAGAGCCAGGTAATTTTGGTGAGTATACCACCAATTTAAAGTTCAGGTTTGAATTCATAGACTGCACTCATAAAATGAATTATAATTTCATGAATAAATTTTCATTTCCCCAGAGAATAATTCCATTTAAAAGTTAAAGAAACAAAACATTCAAGGCCAAGGAGTTTTAATTTTTCATATTCGTGAAAAATGCAGGATTTGTTTTATTTGATCTTTACATACATACAATAGGATTGAGTGAAATTTATGATTTATCTCCTAGGATCAAGTGAATTTTCAGGCTATTATCATTTTTATGAAAAATATCTATTATATCAACTCACTGTCATCATGTTGGATAATGTGCTATGTGAGTTTTTGGAATTTGTAAAGAATATCTTCAGTACCGATTTCAACAAAGACATTATAGGGACCAAATATCCAGGGGTATTTATTAATAAGGGTTATTGATTATGGTGGCACATTTTGAAGAGGTTTTGAATTTTTGGAGGTATCTATATTTTTTGATGGCTTCAAATCAAGAAAAATGGAACAGACCACAGAAAATGTAATTGTATATGTTGTGTTGGATTAGATTGTTACATTAGATATAATTGATTTGATATATAATATGCATTGCTTTTTAAAAATGTAGGAGTATTATAAAATTTCTTGAGAGGGGAGGAAAACGGGAATTGCACCATCGAACTTGATGAATGAAAAAGGGCACTTCCCCAAACATCCCTTTGAATTTTTTAATGACATAGAATCTAAGAAAAGCTTCAGATTAAGCAAGAATACTGTTGCTAATACTTAACAACACACTATTTAACATCAATAATAGTGGATTGCTTCGGTACCTTTGTTAAGATGAATTTATGAAGCTTATCAGAAATGCATCAATAAGCATGCATAAGTCTATTTTGTTCTTGAGTCTTCTGTTTTTAGTCACAAAATTTCACTGAAGTTAAATTCTACTTTAGTTTATTATCCATTTCACTTAACTTGAAGCTTCTATGGACCCATTTTGTTAAATTATATACCATATTTTATTTATAATGTACCACCCAATAAATTAATGTTTTTTTTTTCCTTATCACTGTATGATGTATCATTTATATTCATTATTGATGTTAAAATAACTCAAATTTGAGGAAAAATAAAAAATAAAATTAGCATTAATCTTTTTAGGAGTTTTGGCTTGCCTAGATGGATATATGAACATAGCTCTTGAGCAGACTGAAGAGTATGTTAACGGTCAACTCAAAGAGAAATATGGGGATGCCTTTCTAAGGGGAAATAATGTTCTTTACATCAGCAGTCAGAAACGCCGTTATAATTAAGTTGCAGATATCTGTAATTTATTGTATATTCTGTAATATATGATTTTTTACTAATAAAAAACCCATAAACCAGTATTAATTATTTTATAATTTTCTCCTTTATAATTTCATTTCCTTTATATATTTTTTTTTAGTTTGTGAGGTATCTAGTTACAGTATAATTTAGGATGTTTCAGAAAATTATGTCTAATATTTATAGATAATATTGATTCTAAAAATATTACATTAATAAGGATTTGCTTAGGTATTGAACCCTTCACTTTCAATATCTTTCAACCTTAGTATAGTTATTTTTAAAAATGAAATGGAGACGAAGATATGGATTTCTACATTTGATGTAAATAAATAAAAATATTTATATATGGAGGACAGAAAGGGGATACTACAAAATGCTGTATTGAATATTACAATTATGTTTGAATAAATTTCATTTATTTGTATTGTCATAAATGTTAATAAAAACTTAAGTATATGTCAATTAAGGAATATTTTTTCCATAACATGTGTAATTACTTATTATATTTATGTCAATATTTATAGCCCAACATTAACTCCCACTATGTGTATTGGATGGAAGATATGTTGTTTTTGAGAAACATAGGAAACATGGTTTTGTAATCAATATAGAATTTTATTAAGTTTTTATTGACTCTTGGCAACAACACAAATAAATTAGATTTATTTTCCAACAGCAGTGTTGCTATCCTTCTTTTTTTGTAGACAATACTTGTTACAATATTAATTGTTTTGCTATAGCTTGAACTCCACAATATTGGGAAGTTGGCCCATATTGAAAAAAATATGTTTCTGATAGCCACCTTAAAAGTTATAAAGTTCTTTATTATTGATATGTGAAATTTGTTATATTTTTAAGTATTTTTGTTTTTAAAGATTAAAAAATAGCTCCTAAAGATATATGAAGGAGGAAACAGGCTAACTTTACATTCTGTGCATCTTTGAAGCCTTCACTCTTTTTTTTATAATTATAGGCCTATGGTTCATTGAGATAATTTTTAGAACTCTTTAGATGCTATCAGAACTCTTAATGACTGAAGTTATTACTCAAAATGTTGATAGTAAATGTTTTTAGTTAAAAAAATTATTAGAAACAGACACTTCGTTTTTAGTTCTGAAATTTTACCTATTCTTCTCTCTCTCCTTCCCCACCAATATTTTTAACATTTATTTTCCCGCTATCTTTAAGTGCTATTTTTAGTAGTTTAAACTACATAATTAGTTCTCAATATGATATGGAACTCCAAAATTCTTATAGAGGCTAACAGTCAGAATCAGGCACCCCAGGATGTATGGTCCAACGTGCTCAGCCATCAAGTCCTCTAACATAGTGCTTAACTGAAGAGATGTTACATTCAAGTAGCACAAGCCTGCAAGGAAGCAAAATTGTTGATGTTTAGGATTTTATAACTGGTGTTGGCTATATTTTAGATGCTGAATCTAAATATGCAATCAGTTTTCCTCATCATCTCTACTTTTTAGATCCATCCACTTATCTATTAATGGTTTTACTATTCTATACATTAAAACGTATATAATTTAATCATGCTTGTTGTATTAAATATGTTCTGCTCCCTTAACTCTAGAAAGATCTTCAAGTAGAAATAAGCATTGTCTTTCCTGTAGCTGTTGTGGTAAAGGTAAATTTTACAATGTTTCAACTAGAGGGAAGGTTGTATATGCTCAATAATTCTACTCATTTATTACTCAATGTTTTCCCAACTCCCTGAACTCTGTGAGGATGAGTATCATCTCTCTAATCATCCTGCTGGTATTAATGAAGGTGACAATGATTACAAGTGAATGTTATCATTTTCTCAATGTTTTAAACAGGATGAATTAAATGATCCCATACTGTGAACAGAAATTTCTGTTCTGAACAACTGCCTTTAAACATTTCCTGGAACAGGGTAGGGGATCCCTTTGAGGCCAACGTGCCATTTTCCTTCCCATTGACCACCATCTCATATACCTGAGATTCCTCCTCTCTCGGGTAGCCTTGCTTTTCCTGGTGGACAATTACTGAAATTGGGCAGTGGGTACTTATCATGCTGTACGTTGATTAACTATTCCAATATAACATTTATATATTATTAATATGATATTTCACCAAATCGTTCATCATCAAAACTGAAAAAAACATGAAGTCATGCTTTAGAACAGAGCTTACACATAACAATAAAAAAAGGAAAGTAACAAAAAAAAAAAAAAAAAAAAAAAAAAACTTCGTAGGTGTAATATATCTATTAAACAGACTAGCATATATTTTATTGTTTTCATTCTCATGACCCACAAAATCATTTGAAAATTGACTGGTTAATTTGTGCACACTCTTCAAAAGACTCTAATATATTATTTTTATTTTATTATTTTGTTTCTAGTAATATTTAATATTATTGTTATTAAAATTCACTACTTTGGTTTTCTAATATTAAATACATATTTATTCATACTTTTTTACACATAGTCTTGTTACCCCTAAACCATTCCTTTCCTTTAAAATTGAAAAATATAGATTTTTCACTCATACAAATGAAAAAGAAATTAGATAATTTGGCTCGATGAACTATTCCTAGTGGTCTCATTTCTATTATCAATTACATGAAATGTGACGCATCAAATTACTTTATGCAGGTTTTATTAAATGTGGAATGAATTAATTAAATTATTGAGCCACTGTAAACCTAATTCTCTGATGAAGGTCAGAGTCTGGATGTGGCAGATGTATTCATTTTTTTCAACTTTGACTTACTGTACCAGATTGACTCCGGTGTTGGGAGAATCATATGGTATACAGTTGGCTTCTATAAGTAATTAGGTACAGCCCTAAGTAGGATGGTTGATAACCCAAGCAGTTTAAAGGTCAAGGTTAATCAAATCACCTCTCTCTATAACCATCAGTCTAGAAGCAGTACTTACCTATTAATTACTGAAAGAAAGAAACTCTGGGAAATAAAATAAATTTTTTACCCTGTTTTATATTATATAATATATGAATTTTATTTCATTCAACATTTCTTTAACACAGTTGCTTTATTTATAGCCTAAAATTAATTATTTTAATACGTTTTTTTTATTTGTCTAGCGCCCCTGAAGATCGGGCGCTAAGATAATGAGTAGGGCAATTGCCAGGCCTGGCCCATCCTAATGTCGCCACTGGTTATTAGAAGTAACTAAATATAATTTCTTTATTTTTTAAAAGTAAATGAATGAACACCCAAACAATTACTAGTCCTATATCCATTGGAGGTTTTAAAAATAGAACGTTTTATAAAAATTACTCAGTTACCTGAATATTTGATTGAATCATTGGTACTTTTTTAATAATAGCATCATGAATATAGCATATTTAAAGATGAAGTAGTCATTGCTTAACGAATAAAAGAAATTACATTTCTTTCAAAGTGAAAGAAATTGTGGGTCTGTTAATGTTTGTGATGATGAAATGTTTTTAAGTTTCCTTATCAAAACTTCAATTATATTTATGCAATGCAAGCACAATTTTTGGAAAGGTAAGGACCGAAGCTCTTTGTTAATTATATTAGCTGCCTTCTCCCTGTTTGAATTAGCACGTTGCCTAAAAGCCTACCCATTTACCCTTGGCAGCGCTTTGTGATCAACTTGACATAACTAAGACGTATGATGAAACCCTTAAGGATGGCTAAAAAGATATCATCTCCATATAGAAGTGTTGGCGACCGTGCGTAGTAATTAATGATAGTCTGTTGATAGAGTCTATCAATGATATAGCTGATAACATTTTTTTTTTTATAAAAAGTCAATATTTTTTAAAATGTAAAACAAATAAAAATAATAAATAATTTTATTAATCACAGCAGTATTTTAAACTTGAAGACATAAAAGTCTTGGCCCATTGAAACTTAAAAACGCTGTATTCGAATCCATTTGTGATTCTGACAAATTCCTTACTTCCTATTTCCTGAGCGACAAATTCCTAAAAGACAATTTCCTAAGCGAAGCGAAACGAGGGTTACGTGTCAGAGTCGTCCGCTAAAATTTAATCACAGGCTTTTAATGGAAGATAAAGTTAATTTTAATATTATTTTAACAAATATAAAAAATTAAACAATGGTTAAATAAATTAAAAGTTTAAATTCATAGTCTCTTAGTTACATTCTCAATGTTTTTGAATTTTATTAAACACTTTTTTACGGAAATTCCAAAAATGTTTACCGCTTAAGGCCCCTACATCACTCGACCCATTCCTGGCCATTCTTTTAATTTTAATAATGCAATTTGAAATTGTGAATAGACAAATTATAAAATAGAAGTTCAAATAGTAAAATATGAGTTAGATCTTCACATTAACTTTCATTTTATAATAGTATTTCTAGTGTAATATTCATTTTTTAAAAATTCCAAATAATACAACATGTTAAGTTTGAAAGAAAATCTACCGAAATAAAATAATACTATATTTAAAAATCTGGTGGGCGTAACATACAACTTTCACATACCGCTCAACTTTGAATAGAAATTATTTTCTGGCCATGTTGGGCTCTTATAAAATTTTTGAATTGCATATTTAAGTGAGCTAAAGCTAAAAAATTACAGGTAACAAATGATGAATACCATAAAAATAACAAAAGTCGTATTTATTATACCATAGAGATTTGTATTATCTGTCATAGATAGGTCAAAAGTTGTCACAGTAATTGTAAGATCACTAAAGGAATTTTCATCAAACTATTCACTAATTTAGTTTTCTAAAAGGTTACATGATAATTTTTCAGAATAAACGGACGATAGATACCTAAATCTTTAAATATTATATCAGATGTAGAGTTATTAATCTACAGTAAATATATTTAAGGTTATAAACGTATCTATAAAATATTTTTATATTCCACTTCTTCTTTCACACAAATACAATGAAATAGTAGTGGGTACTGTTACAAAGGGAAGATTCATCAAATTATTCACTAATTTGATTTTCTAAAAAGTTACATGACAATATTTTGGAATAAACGGGCGTTGATACCTAGTTATTTAATTATAATATCAGGTCTAGAATTATTAAACTAAAGTAAATGTATTT